TCTTTTGTCCGGAACTGAATATAAAAATTCATTCTAAAACAAATTATATTTGAAACTTCAAACTTGTCAGCAATTCTCAATTTATTCATCAGTTTATTTAACGTTCATAGGAAATATTTTACAATCATACTTTGTTATTGGTTTATAAGTGAGCAGATTTTCTGACGTTAAAACTGGTTTATCTTTTAAATAGTGAAAAATATATGACCTGCGGTACATTTAACATGCGGTTAAATAATACTCGGTTTTAATATAGAATTATCATTAACTCGATACAACATTTTAACCTAATTTTAATTATCGTGATTTTCACTGGATTAAATAACCCTTGGTATCTCAGCGATGGATTTCGGTGTTTTATGGAATTTAAAATATATATATATATACTTTTTTAACAAGGTAGGAATTGAAGGCTGAGACTTCGAGATATAATTTTTTCAATATATGAGAAAACACATTCAGAAGAATTAGAGCTGGAAAACATGTGCATGTGTCTGTGTGGTGATGGTTGTCTAGTGACGGTGATTTCAGCCAGTGTAAAGTACTTTTATTGCATTCCACTCTGCAACTTTTTCATTGCTAATGTTCCTTTTCAAAACATAAAAGCTTATCATATAGTTCATTATCAAATTTATATATATAAAAAAAATAAAAACGGAAGCCATTGTTTTGTCCGCATTTGACCACTTTGGATAAATTCTTGTGTGGAACCCACTGGATATTTTTAAGATGTTGACAGTTCCCGAAACCTCCGACCTGAGTACTATATTTTATGTTCATCACTAGTGATGAATCAGTCCATGTTGGTCAATTTTATCACTAACATGCGGCAAGAACATTATTTATTATTATTATTAAAGATTAGCCGGTATTCTCCCGGCCCGGGCCTTTTCCAAGTGGTGGCCCGGCCTTGGCTCCCTCTTTAGGGAGTGTCTGAGACCTAAGTCTCCCATGGGAGGAGGCACAAGTACCTCCTCATCTTTGGGACCAACTGTCCCCAGGCCTAGCCACAAGCTAGGCCTCTCTGGTCTGCCATCCCCGCCCCAAGGGGGCTAATGGGAATGACAGTCTTATGAGCTAAAGGCTCGGGCTCAGGCACCTACCCTACCCTAGAAGGGTTAGGCATGGTGTCGATGCAAGCAAGAACATTAAATTTTTAAATCAAACTTGGTCTCTAGCTGCATTTTAAAGAGAAAAATTTAGTAAAACTGTATTATTTTATAAGAGATAAAAGACACCTTGAAATTCTGTGCAATAGTTTCACTTTTTTAATAATTTTGTCAAGCCTTCATAAGGAATTTCCAGTTTTTACACTAAAATTAAGACGGTTTGTTCCTTCCTAGTAATGTCTGTATTAAATCCTGTGTAGTTACAGCTTCAACAGCTGCGAACTTTCGCTTTTCATCATTACAACAATTTAACTGGAAGTTGCTGCTCGAGTGTGCCCGAAGATCAGCCAGAGTTCTTCACATGGGTTTTAAAGCACTCAATACAGCAGGGTATTTAGTTTGACTCCAAAAACGTGATTTCAGTTTGGGAATCTATTTTAGAGTTCTCGCTACTTAGATGAAAGAGTTCTAACTATCTAGTTCATTTACTAGTTGTTTACAGTTAACATCAACAAATTTACAGAATTCCTTCATTTCTTTTATTCTAACGCACTTGTAATAAAAAACTGAGTTGTTACAAAGTCCACTTTATTCACTCCGTCAAACAAAACAAAAAATCCACCAGAGCATTGCCAAAAATATTGTAGTCTTCGCGTACATTCAATGGTGTATGAATGACAACGTTACATGATGACAATGTTACATGCATGACAACGTCACTTTTATGACAACGTCACTTTTATGACAACGTCACTTTTATGACAACGTCACTTTTATGACAACGTCACTTTTATGACAACGTCACTTTTATGACAACGTCACTTTTATGACAACGTCACTTTTATGACAACGTCACTTTTATGACAACGTCACTTTTATGACAACGTCACTTTTATGACAACGTCACTTTTATGACAAACGTCACTTTTATGACAACGTCACTTTTATGACAACGTCACTTTTATGACAACGTCACTTTATGACAACGTCACTTTTATGACAACGTCACTTTTATGACAACGTCACTTTTATGACAACGTCACTTTTATGACAACGTCACTTTTATGACAACGTCACTTTTATGACAACGTCACTTTTATGACAACGTCACTTTTATGAACGTCACTTTTATGACAACGTCACTTTTATGACAACGCACTTTATGACAACGTCAACTTTTTACTACGTCATTTATGACAACGTCACTTTTATGACTAAGTCACTTTATGCAACGTACTTTATGACAACGTCACTTATGACAACGTACATTTTAGACAACGTACATTTTAAGGACAACGTCACTTTTATGACAACGTCATTTTATGACAACGTACTTTATGACAACGTCACTTTTATGACAACGCACTTTTAACAACTCATTTTTTGACAACGTCACTTTTATACATCATTTTATGACAACGTCACTTATGACAAACGTCACTTTATGACAACGTCACTTTTATGACAACGTCACTTTTATGACAACGTACTTTTATGACAACGTCACTTTATGACAACGTCACTTTTATGAAACGTCATTGAAAACGTACTTTATGCATCACTTTTAGAAACGATTCTGCTAATTACAGCAGGAGAACGTTATGCTTATAAAGTACTTCATGATAGTCACTGTCATAACAGCGTTATCGCTGACAAGTTACATCATAAAGTTAAATTAGGACACGCATGTGCATGACAACATGAAGGTATCCAAATGTATGACGCCAATCTTTCCACAAACAATATCTTTTGCTTGTCATAATACAGCTTACAAAGAAATTGATCTGTAACATAGGTTATTAGAAGTCGCTTGAACACCACGAAACATTCAGCTGCTTATTAAATCCAAAAGTGAAAGTTTGCTCTTCAGAAGATTTGAAGTCGCGAGATACGTGTATGTAACTCTTTGTGCTCGTTAACACTGTTGCGTTATCTACAAGATTCTGATGAAAATTAGACCATGTGCACACTTGGTTCTTTAATGAGGGACAGTTTCGCCACACAGTGGCTTCATCAGTTCTTAAAGATTGAGTGAGACGGAGGAGTTTGAGGTAATCATCCCTCACTTGAGTCGTGTAATCAATCACCAGTCTGAAAAGATTGATGAACGAGGACTGATTACCTTTATGGACTGATGAAGCACTGTGTGCGGAACGTTCCCATTAAAGATACCAAGTGTTGCACATGTGCTAATTTATCAACTGTCGTTCTCTGAACCATCATGGCTGGAGCAGTGAGCACCACAGCTCTGTAGACAACGACACAAGTGGACAAGCAGCTTCACTGGAACAACCTATGCTTAAGCTAGTATTGTATACTGCGGAAGAAATCACAATAAAATGCGTGATTGTAAATATTTAAAAATGCCACAGTGAAAATAGAAAATAAAACCTGACCGGTTTCATGTGATTACACACATCTTCAAAGGAATAGGAACAGCTATTACTCTGAAGATATATGTGTAAGGCATGGGTTGTGAATGTATAAGGTATGGGTTGTGAATGTTGCAACAAGGAGAAGGCTGGAGGCAGTGATGTCATGTCTGAGGGCAATGTGTGGTGTGAATATAATGCAGACAATCCGTAGTTTGGAGATTAGAAGGAGGTGTGGGATTACCAAAACTATTATGCAGAGGGTTGAGGAGGGGTTGTTGAGGTGGTTTGGACATGTAGAGAGGGTGGAACAAAATAGAATGACTTCGAGAGTGCATAAATCTGTAGTGGAGGGAAGGCGGGGTAGCAGTCGGCCTAGAAAAGGTTGGAGGGAAGGGGTTAAGGAGGTTTTGTGTGTGAGGGGCTTGGACTACCAGTAAGCATGCGTGAGCGTGTTAGATAGGAGTAAAAGGAGTCAAATGTTTTTTAGGACTTGACGTGCTGTTGGAGTGTGAGCAAGGTAACATTTATGAAGGGATTCAGGGAAACCGGCAGGCCGGACTTGATTCCTGGAGATGGGAAGTACAGTGTCTGCACTCTGAATGGGGGTGTTAATGTTGCAGTTTTATAACTGTAGTGTAAGCATGCCTCTGGCAAGACAGTGATGGAGTGAATAATGAAAGTTTTTCTTTTTCTGGCCACCCTACCTTGGTGAGAAACGCCGATGTGTTAATAATAATAACAAAAAATATATGTGTAAGCACATGAAATCGCCCTGGTTTTATTTCCTATTTACACTCTGGTATTCTTTCACATTGTATACGGTATATATTCTGATGAGTGCATCTGTCTTGATGCGTGTGCTCAGCGTGGAGCAGCTCCTCCCTGAAGGACTTTATCTCAGTGTTATACACTTAGACTTTACTTCAGTCCCAGATAGACTCTTATTTGGGGTTATAATATTCTTGATTAGTTGTAAACACATGCATCCTTAAACAGCTTTATGTTAATAAGATTTAAGCACAATTAACTAATCCTTAAGTAAAAAAATTTTATGGCTTGTAAAAGTTCTACCTAGAACGAATTTTGTCCAAATTAATGTCTTTTTCTGGATTCATTGATATAATAAATCCGAACTGCACAGTTAGACTCCTGATAACGTATTACATATTATCAATTTAATAAATTTTTAACAGATAGGCCTATAATTTCATGGGACCTAATCTATTTTATCTACACGATAAAGTCTCAAATACCACTGAAAAGTGAATTTAAAAAATACCACATCATCTTATTTGAAATACATCGTGTGCCCAAGTGAGGAAAAAAGATGACTGTTTATTACTATAGGTTTAAAGCCTTTCGACTACACGAGGGTCATTAAGGCTGCATGTTACCTGCACACCACCAGCCAGAAAACACACATGTATATATATATATATATAAATATATATATATATATATATAATATATATATATATATATATATATATATATGTATATATATATATAGGCACGTTAGAGTTCTGGAGGTGGGAAGCACAGTGTCTGCACTCTGAACGGATGTTGGGGATGTAACAGTTCAGAGAATCAATCCATATTAATCACACAATTGAAAAGCCGACTTATTCTTATATTTATGCACAAATTCACAAAAAAAAAGAATGCTGTGAATACATTAATCTCTCTGCTGCAGTAAAAATATGTTTTTTTCTAAAATGTTTACTTAAACATTAGATCAGCAAGTAGGCATCCATATCTGCACAAATAACACACATTACGCATACATTATACATTTAAAATCTCCCTCAGCAAAAATACAACTTATTTGCAGTAAAACAAACATATATGCCCACGGTACGGGCGGGGTTTTGAACCCACTCGTACCGTGGGTTGAAAACCCCACCGTATTATTACGATTTCGTGAGTATAGATATTTGTAAACGACCAAAAGGTCTGAATGCCCACTTCCTATATAAAAATTATCCTCAAATGTTTGGTTCCTAGTCTACTTCGTAAATTATATATAGTCTTACATACCATCTGTGCTCGATCCTCTCACATTTGAGTTTACAAAAGGAAATATTTTTCTATACACAGCACACACACCTGCACGGTTACTAGCTGAGAATTTTTTTTTTCATCATGGGCATAAAAATACTCTTGTAGTTGGACACAGGTAACAATACTCATGATGTACGTTCCCAGAGTACTTGAGTGTTCCATGCGTACATTGGTCGGTGCATTTTACATCTCCCGTCCGTGACTGAGAGGAGAGGAACCTCCCCCTCCACCTATGGCACCCTCGGAAGAGTGTCTTCCAGACTCCATCTCTGAGGAAGCCGAAGAGGAGAGCGTAGTGTTGGAGCCTAGGTGATCGCTCTGCACGGACATACCTCGGTCGTGCGACCTCCGGGTTCTGTTGGGAGACAGCTTCACCAGATCGATGCTGCTGGGGTCGGCCTGTGGAAGGGGATGAAGAAGGACGGGGATACATAATGTGAAGTGCACAGGTCCTGGGGCTGCGAGTGTCAGGACAAGGATTAGTGTAACTGCTTCCAGGTGAGAAGCCAGGAAGAGTGCCGGGGACTACAAGTAGGATACCCTGGGAAGAGTGCCAGGTCTAGAAGCAAGATGCATTAAGGAGAGTGCCAGGTCTAGAAGATGAAGTGGGAAGAGTGCCAGGTCTAGAAGTAATATGGAGTGGGAAGAATGCCAGGACTAGAAGTAATATTGAATGGAAAGAGAATCAGGTGTAGAAGTATTATGAAGAGGGAAAAATGCATTGAGGAATTATATGATTAAACATGATAAACAGACCATAAATCATCACAGGTCAAAATCATTAATGTACAATGCAAAATGTTATTATTAATTATTATTATTATTTAATATTTTTATTAATCAGTCATATATGTTCAAAAACAAACGCTAAACCCATACGGGTTATACAGCAACGAGAGAGAAGTAATGGGTATTTTTTCCTAAAAAAAAAAAAAAAGTTTATTTACTTTTATTTAGATATTAAACAATTGCTTGAGAGTGGAGCAGCAAGGAGAGTTACTGAAGACAGGAAGAAAGGTTGAGTTATGGTGGATGAACTGTTGTGTGTTGTTGTGAGTACGAAGACAAAAAGGGAAGTAGCAGAGCAGGCTTTTATTGGGACAACGTTTCGCTCAGTGTAGAGTTTATCATGTTATGTTTCACTGTGTGGAGCTTTATTAAATTATCTTTCAGTTTATGTGGTGCTCTGTTAAGTCTTGCATCGGTCTGTGTGGAGCTTTATCAATTCTTCATTTGGTCTCTTTAGAGCATCAAGTCTTCTTTCAGTCTGTTTAAAACCTTGTCAAGTCTTATTTCGGTCTGTGTAGAGCCTGATCAAGTCATTTTGCGTTCTACGTAAAGCTTGATCTCTCTTGCCGATTCGTGCAGTACTGAATCCGGCCACATTGCACTCTGTATGTACTAAACTAGTGAACGTTGTTCCAGTAAATTCCTGGTCTGAAACACGTGTGTTTGTCTTCATACATCTTCCGTGGGGAGAAGAAAAGTTGATAATTATTTCTGAGGAGGAAATCGACCAGAAACTAGTTCCATTTTTAATTTCATCTAATTTATTTGTGAACATCAAATACAGTCAGACACAGAATCGAGTTACTATTAACTATGATACATACATATATACACATATGAAAAGAAATCAATGGTTTTTCGTAACTACTAATTTTTCAAATACCAATCCGAAAAAAATTGAAAATGAGTGGCAGATTTTTTCGGTCTATTATCCATTGTTTTGGCACAGATGATGGTTCTTAGAAGTCCGAAAAGTTCATCCAACGCAATTCCCATTTTTTATAGATTGGTGTTAGAAACACAGATATACATATATTACAAGAAACAAATGTAAATATAAACACTGTTAAACGGTTTATACTTAATTTAACATGTAATATAAATGGCATTACCCTAAAACAACGAAAAATTTCCAGTATAAGATAATGAGTAGAGAATACAACTGGGCATTGAAAATAACAACTTACAGCCAATCCCATCCACATTAAATTTATGTAAGTCAAAATGCCAAAAAAATTTGTATTCTAGAAATCGTAAATATATATATATATATATATATATATATATATTATATATATAATTTATATAAAATTTTATATATATATTATATTATATATATAATATATATATATAATATGATTATTTTTAAATTAATATAAAATATAAAATTAAAAATATATATTTTTTTATTTAATATTATTTTTAAATCTTTATATATAATATATATTATATATATATATATATATATATATTATATAATTATATATATATATTAATATATTATGGGTTAAATTATATTTATGAGGGTAACTTCAAAAATTATATGGTTTTTTGACCTTAAACATTCCCCAACAATTTTCAAAATAATTATATATTATTAATTTTTAATATAAATTAATATATTTATTATATTTATTTTAGTACAAAATTTCTATTTATAAAAATTTTTATATTTCAAAAAAAACAAAATGATCACACAGGCATATGTATATTTTTTAGTCAATTTGGTTTAATCATAAAATAGAAAATTTTAAACCCAAATTTTTAATAATTTACAAATTTTAACCAGATTTATCATTTTACGTCCTCCCAACCCAAATAATTTAAAAATATATATAAATTTAAAATTTTTAATAATCTTATTTATAAATTATATATATATATATAATATATATATATATTATATTATTATTATTATATATATTATATATAAATATATATATATATATTATATATATATATATATTATATGTCGTGCCGAATATTTTAAAACTGGTCAATTAGCAAGAACTCATTTAAAATTAAGTCCTTTCTAAAATTTTTTCTTATTCGTTTAAAGATAATTTTTTTCATTAATGTTATGGTAAAAAATTTAAAATTTTGCACCCCAAAAAGGGAAATTAGAAAACTTACCTAAACCCTTTTTAAACAAGGCAATTTATTTTTAGTCTAACCCAACTAAATGTATTTTAGATTTTTTTTAATAATTTAATACTAAACAAACACAGTGGAAATATATATTTTTCGTTAGCTTCAGAATGAATTTTTGGCGAAATTATTGCATACACAAATTTTCCACTTGTCCTTATGGCAAGATGAACGTTGCTATTTAAGCCAAGATCGCAAGTTCTGCCTATTCGGTACGACATATTTTATATATATATATTTTATTTTAATATATATATATATATTATATATATAATATTTTATATATATATATATATATATATATATATATAAATATATATATATTATGGAAGAATCATGAACAAGCTATACAAGGTGCTAAACTACCACAGGGAGAGTTAAATAACAGCTCTAGGCCTTTCGTGTTGCAATCAACACATCAAGAGCTTGCAGTGCTGAAATGAGTAAGAGATCTCAGCTGATTCGTTCTGAACTGCATTATCTATAGCGACTGAGATGCCACATTCATTGAGGATGTGATTAAAGAATCACGAAATCGCTTGCAGTCGAATTATTATTCACTGTTGTACTGCATATTATGATACTGTTTTCTTGTGGCCATCAGGTCTATTGTGGCCTCGATGACTAGGTCTCGGCTAAATCTGTTGTGGTCTGGAAGACCAGCTCTTGCTACGGACCCAGCTTACAGGGCCGTCTTCAACATTATGCACCGTCTTAGGAAAGTTATATCTCAACAACACACAACTCAAAGTCGTTATTAAAATGACGTTTCGCTGAGAACAATGTTGATAAAGTTACCTCAGTCAGCGCCACCTTCACCTCAACAATCAACGCCACCTTCACCTCAACAGTCAACGCCACCTTCACCTCAACAGTCAACGCCACCTTCACCTCAACAATCAAAGCCACCTTCACCTCAGGATTTCGTCATCCACATCCAGTTCTTCGTTACGTTGTATTTCTCCTCTTCCGGTAACACTGTAGACATATTTTTCAGTATGCCTGTGAGGTATCCCTTGACTGCCCTCTTGAAGGATAGTGGCTTCGTTAAGTGGAAATCTTCGCAACATGATCAAGTTGTTTTGAAAATAGACTCCGACTGTAACTCTGGTGTAAATGTCGGTATGGTGTCTGTCTTTCAAGGGAAATGTTGCTTACTGCAAATTAATTAAAAAATTGACGGCTTACATATGTCGACTGGACAGACCCAACGAATGCCTGCATTCGCAAAATTAACGAATTCGCATATTCGTAAAACCAATAGCTGCCAGCATTCGCAAAACAGAATACACATTAAATCTTGAGCAAATGTACAATTTGACATAGGTGATATAAAAATAAATTCTCAGAATATTTTAAGAGTGTATATGACATGCGTTCGTGACTGCATGTAGCAAGCAACCAATAACCTTGAATTATGAAAAAAGAGCCTGGTCTGGGACCGGGCCCAGGGCGTGATAGCCAGAACATTACAGGTAATTCCGCAATTTTTAATCATACGTAAATATAATCAAATAGTTAAATTTTGAAATGTAATTTGACATGGTGTTGTAAATGTGAATTGTCAGAATTTTTTAAGTGTGTTTTTGGGTGGTGTCGGTTGCATGTGAGATGAGTGTGGCTGATGGTTTAAAAAGTGTTGGTGGGGTGCGGGGGTGTGTCAGAAGCATGTGCGGTAATCCGCAAGTGTGTGTGTGTGTGTAGTAATTGTGTTTTCAAATGGTTGATATATGTGTGTGGAATGTGTGTTTTGTGTGTTTGTTGTGTTTGTGTTGGTGTGTGTATTGTGTGTGTGTGTGTGTGTGTGTGTTGTGTGTGTGTTGTGTGTGTGGGGTGTGTGTGTGGTTGTGTGTGTGTGTGTGTTGTGTGTGTGGTGTGTTTTGTGTGTGTGTGTGTGTGTTGGTGTGTGTGTGTGTTCACCCATTTGTACTCATCTGTTTGTGGTTACAGGGGCCGAGTCTCAGCTCCTGGCCCTCCCCGTTGGCCACTACTGGGTTGTATGTGTGTATGTGTGTTTACATGTTTGTGCATGTATGCGCGTGTATACACGTTCTTACGAGTGTCTATGCCCGTGTGCGTGTTTGTGTATGCATAGATGCTGGCAAGGGCTCTTCATCCAAGGGAATGTAGTCATCCTCCCCTTTCATTAGATAAAACCCTGTCTGACTCGCATATTCCCCCAGGTGCTTGTCGACCCGTACGGGTTTAGCTCTTCGCTGTGAATGCAATGATAACCGTTCCAGTGAAGAAAAAAAAAATGTATGCGTGCATTTTATAAATTAATGAAGACTTGAGAGGCTTATACACAATGTTAGGAACATCAACTATGTGAACACAGATGAACAGAGGTGAACACTAATGAACACAGATGAACACAGGTGAACAGAGTTGAACAGAGATGAGCAGGGATGAACAGAGATGAACCGAGTTGAACAGAGATGAACAGGGATGAAAAAGAGGTAAACAGGTGGACAGAGGTGAACAGAAACAAACAGATATGAACAGAGGTAAAAAGAGATGAACAGAGTTGAACAGAGGTGAACAGATATGAACAGAGGTAAAAAGAGATGAACTGATATGAGCATAAATTATACTGATAGTTTTGTCTGCCTACAAAACACGATTTTTTTTTTTTTTTTTTTTTTTTTGCTATTCAGATTATGAAAATTGAAAAAGTTTAAAAATCCACATTATCATATTCTTTGCTATTTTGTTTTTCATTTTAAGCAAAATGGAAAAATATTCTTTAAAAATTCCTTCCTTCCAACATGTTCCTGAATAATATCAGATCAGAGAAATATGACTTACAATATAATAGAGGACAATTTGGATCACCTGAAGATTCCTTCTCCATCAGAGGGGGAAAACAGTCAACTCAAATTACGCAAATTTACGCATTGTATCAGTGTAGCAAAAGTGACTTAGGAAGCCAACCTGACCTTGCTAACACTGAGGACAGTAAAGTAGAAAAAGACACAATACAGTGACTGGAACAACACACAACACCTACAGAGGAGAGAGGAGCTTATCATGACTTTTCGGTCCGATTTGGAGTATTTACAAAGTCACATTGTGACTGTAAATGGTCCAAGTCGGACCGAAACGTCGTCGTAAGCTCCTCTCTCTCCCATGTGCAGGTTATTTGTGTATTGAGGTCAGTGGGCTCCAAACTTGTGTCGATAGTATTCCCCTAGACGCTGGGTACTAACATTATCTGAGATACAAACATCTAGACGGAACATCGTGTACTTCAAAAACTTGGCAACTTTAAGTGTATCTATAAAATAGCGAATATAAATAAATAAGTTTAAAAAAAATCACCTAATAAAAACACAGTACATTATAGTAATTCGCGTATCCCCTGAAACTACCTTCATGTATCCCCTTGGGGTACGTATACGTTAGTTTGGGAACCACGAATTTAGGTAATATAAAACATCTTAATTTATCTAATCTATCCAAGAGTTTGCATAACCTTAGTTAACTGTTTTCCTTAGAGGAAGCGAATATTCAGATTATTTATAATTATACAAAATGTTGTAACTTGATTCTGTGTGCAGTAAAGATGAGTACTAAATTTCTGGTCGTGGAGACGGGTAGCCAGTAAGAGATCGCAATGCAGGCGGCGAGGGGCCGGTTCATAGCCATGTATCCCTCTGAACAATGACATACATTGTTTCAAGGGGGGTCCGTCTAGGAGTTGCAAGGGGAAGATGGAAGAGCAGATCACAGTTCAACATCGTCAAGTAGGAGGATGTGCAGGAAGGAAAGATGAAAAGAAATCATCAATATTGACAATGCTATAAATAAAGAGCGTTACTTATACGTTTTACATGCTTCTAAGAAGGTCTACGTGTAAAAAAAAAAAAAGAATGGAAGCTTCAGATAGTGTTTCTAACAAAAATATATACGTATTTTAATACAGAATATCTGAAACGTGATCCAGGCAAGAGAGGCATGCATTTAGTCCAAAAAATACAGTTTTCAGATGGAAATCATCTCAACTTTATAACACTGAGCGTGGAAGCTAGCGGTTATATGAATCTGTACAGGTAAAAACCTGTGTTCAGTTTGTTGCCGTTGCAACTGTGTTATCTAGAGGGTAAGAAACTTTCCCCGTATTGAGGCAGTGAACCTTGTTCTTGGTCCCTTGGTTAATATATATATTTTATATATATATTATATATATATTATTATATATAATATATAATATATATATATATTATATAATATATATATGCAATAAGTCACAGTAAACAGGTGATTTTAAAATATGCAAAGAAAACCCCTCTGAAAGAGTAGTCCTTGACAATGTGAGATGTCAGTCTGAGGACCCAAAGTGTGTGTGAATATAATGCAGAGAATTGTAAGTTGGAAGTTGGAGAGGGGCGGGATTACCAAAACTGTTGTCCCCGGCTGAGGAAGGGTTGTTGAGGGGTTCGACATGTAAGAGAATGGCGAAAAAAGAAGACTTCAAGTGTAATCAGCCCGTAGGGAAGGGAAGACGGGGTAGGGGTCGGCCCAGGAAAGTTTGGAGGAGGGGGTTAAGGAGGTTTTGTGTGCGAGGGGCTTGACTTCCAGCAGGCATGCGTTTTGTGTTTGATAGGGGGTGAATGGGACAAATGGGTTTTTTTATACTTGACGTTGTTAGTGTGAGCAAAGTAACATTTATGAAGGGGTTAGGGAAACCCACAGGCCGGACTTGAGTCCCTGGAGATGGAAGTACAGTGCCCCGCACTTCTGAAGGGGGGGTGTTAAGTTGCAGTTTAAAAACTGTAGGTAAAAAACCCTTCTGGCAAAACAGTATGGAGTGAAAGTGGTCAAATTTTTCTTTTTTGGGGGACCCTGCATTGGTGGAATCGGCCAGTGCGTTTTAAAAAATATTATTATATATATATATAATATAATATATATATTATAAATAATTATATATATATATAATTATATATTTTTATAATATATATATTATAATATATATATATATATATTATATATAATTAAATTATATATATATAATATATATAAATTTTTAAAATTTTATTATATATATATATATATTTATATATTTTTATATAATATATATATATAAATATATATTTTTATATATTATATATATTATATAATTTTTATATATTATAAAATTTTTAAATAATATATATATATTTTTAATTTTATATATTATATTTTATATTTATATAAATTATATATTATATATATTATATAATTTTAAATTTTATATAATATAATTTAAGCATATTGAGTGCAAGTCTACTTGGTAGCGACTTGGCAGTGGAAATGATGGTGGGCGAGTGCTAGCTTCTATGAGTGACAACATTTTGGGGTTAGCAAGATAGCCTTGATTCAAAAACATGTAGAAATTATATCCTTAAATACGTAAAACGTGCGTTACCAACTACTCATTAAACTCAACGGGACTCATTATACAATATGGACAGAAGTTTGGGCCATACCGCAGCCAAAAAAATTTCCCTAAAATTCAATGTTAATAAAGAGTAGACACTGCCACAGTGTTATGCACATATAAAATCAACACAGATTTTAAAATCGAAATAATTATGCATATAAATTGCTTAAGAAAACATAATTTTTCCAAAACCCTTATTAAAAAAAAGGAGTGTTTTATGAATAATAAATTAATATATATAATTTTATAAATAATATATATATATAAAATAATTTAAAATAATAATTATAATAATTTTAAATAATATTTAATTATAAAAAATTATTATAAAAATTTATATATTAATATATAATAATATATTATTTTATATATTATATATAAAATTTATATATTTAATATTATTTTTTAAATATTATAATAATAATATATATATATATATAA